TTTAGAAATGTTACTTCCAAAGAGAATTGTGCAAGTCTTTAGCAGATGAAGACTGAGCAGCATTTATTTAATGCCTTTCATGACATCAAGATATCCCAAAGGGCTGTACAGGGAGTTTAGTACTTTAATTGTAATCACTGTTGCAAGGTTATAATTTGTGCATAGTAAGGTCATACAAATAGGAACTTGTTAATGATTAAACAATCTGTCTTAGCAATGTTGGTTGCGGAATAAAGGGAGAGTGACTGCACTTGACATCGAGGCTGCATTTGACAGAGTATGGAATCAAGGAGCCATAGCAAAATTGAAGTCAATAGGAATCCAGGGGGTGTGAGTGAACTTGTTGGACTCACGCAAGTAGATAATTGTGGATGTAGGAGGTCAGACATCTCAGTTCCAAGACATCTCTACAGGAATTCATCAGGGTAGTGTCCTAGGCCAACTATCTTCAGCTGCTTTATCATTGACCTACTCGTCATAATAGAGTGAAGAGTGACTATGTTCAGCATCATTTGCAACTCTTCAGATCCTGAAAGATGTCCAAATGCAACAAGATTTGGATAATATCCAGGTTTGGGATGGCAAGTAACATTTGTGGCGCACAAGATCTAACCGATAACCATCTCCAAAAAAGAGAGTCTAAACATCAAGCTGTGACATTCAGTTGCATTACCACCATGGAATCCCCCACTATCAACATCCAGGGGGGTTACCATTGATCAGAAAACTGAACTGGACAGCCATATAGATACTGTGGTTACAAGACCAGGTCAGAGACTCGGGATCTTGCACAGATTAATTCACCTGCTAACTTCCCAAACCCTACCATTATCGACAAGGTGCAAGCTGACAGTGTGATATAATACTTCCCGTTTGCCTGGTGGAGTGCAGTTCCAAAAACATTTAAGAAGCCGAACACCATTTAAGTGCTTGATAGCACCTATCCACAAACATTCAATCCCTCCACAACCAACTCAGTATCAGCAGTGTGTTCCACCTGAAAGATATATTACAGAAATTCACCAAGGCTCTTTCAGCAGCACTTTCCAAACTCTCAACCATTTAAAAAGGACAAGAGCAGCTAATACATGGAACCACCATTGCCTACAAGTTCCCTCCAAGTCATCAACACCCTGATTTGGAAACATATTGAAGTTCTTCACTGCAGTTGGGTGGAAATCTTGGAACGCCCTCTCTAACAGCATTGTGAGAGAACCTACACTAAATGCCCGCAGCGGTCAAGAAGGAAGAACGTTACTGTATTTTGAAGAGTAACAATAAATGCTAGCCCAGCCAGCAAAACACACATCCCATGAATGAATTTTAAAAAATGAAGTGATAGAAGGTATGGCTGCCAAATTTGCTGATGACGCAAAGACTGGTAGGAAAGTAAGTTTTAAAGAGGACATACGGAGGTTACAAAATAGAAAGATAGGTTAAATGAGGGGGCTAAAATACGGCAGATGGAGTACAATGTACGATAGAAAATTGTACATTTTGGCAGGAAAATTAAATGCATACTATCTGAATGGTGAGATATTAGAACGCTCTGAGATGCTGAAGGATGTAGGTGTCCTAGTGTATGAATCACAAAAGACTCGTAAGCAAGTTCAGCCTGTAATTTGAAAAGTTAACGGAAAGTTATCACTTATGAGGAGGATAAATAGATACAAACATAAGGAGGTAACGGTTCAGTTATACAGAACACTCTGGGACTATATATGGAGTACTGAGCATAGTATTGGTCACCTTATTTAAAGAAGGATGTAAATGTGTTGCGAACAGTTTGGAGAAGGTTTACACGGCTAATAGCTGGAATGGACAGGTTGTCTTTTAAGTAAAGGTTGGAAAGGCTAGACTCGTATCCAGTGGAGTTTCACAGAATGAATGGTAACTTGATTGAAACATATAAGTGCTGAGGGGTGGTGACAGGGTTAACATGCACAGCACGTTCCCTCTTACAGGAGAATTAGGGATCACATTTAGTTGTTCGGAGGCCAAATCAGCTTGGTCTCTAGATATATTTATTGCTTAGAAGAGTGTCCTTGGCCTAACTGTCGTCAGCCGCTTCATCAATGACTATCCTTCAGTTTCAAGGTCAAAAGTAGAAAGCTCACTGATTATTGCGCAATGTTTAGTGTCATTCACAACTCCTCAGATACTGGTGCAGTCTATGCCAAATGTAGCAAGACCTGGACAACACTCAGGCTTAGACTGATAGAATCATACAACACAGAAACAGACCCTTTGGTCCAACTTGTCTGTGCCAAGCTTCCCAAACTAGACAAGTCCCACTTGTCTGTATTTGGTCCAAATCCCTCTAAACCTTCCCCCCATCCATGTATCAAATGTCTTTTAAACATTGTAACTATAGCACTACCATCTACCATTTCCTTTGGTAGGTCATTCCACACACGATCCACCCTCTAGGTTGCAATGAACATCTGTGCCAACCAAATGCCAGGTACTGACCGTCACTAACATTCTACTTGTTAAAGAAGGATGTTTCATGTTAAAACCTCTGATAATGCAATCTTGGAGGCTGAGATGACACTACAACTAGATGATTAAATCACCCCAGTCTCTAAAGTCTATTGCTATTAAACATGAGATAGTAGGAGCTGCAGATGCTGGAGAATCCGAGACAACAAAGGGGCAGAGCTGGATGAACACAGCAGGCTAAGCAGCATCATAGGAACAGAAAGGCTGACATTTCGGGCCTAGACTGATGAAGGGTCTAGGCCCGAAACATCAGCCTTTCTGCTCCTATGATGCTGCTTAGCCTGTTGTGTTCATCCAGCTCTGCACCTTGTTGTCTCTGCTATTAAACATTACCGCTTTTGTACAGCCATTTTTTTGGTAATGTCACTAGGTTAGTAATCCAATCGTGGTACTGTCATTAGACAAGTAATCCAAAACTCTAGGTGAATGTTCAGGGACATGGATTCAAATTCTACCAAGGCAGATGATGAAATCTGAATTCAATAAACATATGGAATAAAAAGCTAGCCCACTGGTGACCATGTTACTATTGTCAATTATCATTCACTCATGTTCTTTAGAGAAGTAAGTCTGTCATTTTTACCTGGTTTGGTTAAATGTGACTCCAGACACACTGTGGTTGACTCTCAACTGCTCTCTTGTCAATTAGCAGTGAACAATGAATGCTGGCCTTGCCAGGGACACATAGGTCCCATGACAAAAAAAAAAGTTTGAACATTCTATCCTGTGATGTTTTGAGGAAAAAAAAAGGCAAATATTCTGACACATTTCGCCAGATGCTGTAGTATCAGAATAATCATGTTCACTAATTCACATTAATTTTACTAACCAGAATCCTTTTTCTCATATGTTGGAGCTCCAATACAAGGTTTAGAAGTAACATACATTGAACTCAAAACCACTGCTATGAAGCTAATTGTCTGCTACGTAATTAGGCAGCTATTCAACCTAGAGAATTAATTCTCCATTAACGGTCAATTGAGATGGAGGATATTTGTTAAAAATTAGAAGTCTTATTGTTTAAACATTGCAGAATTTTTTCCTTTTTATTATCAACAGTAATATAATGAGAAACCAAGATATATTGGCCCAGAAGTTCCAAAATGCTACTTATGCCAACCATACAGTTGACAGAACAACATATTTTGCAAAGCTCATTTGACAACACTGAAATGTAAATCAAACAAACAGTGCAACAGAAAAGCAATAACAATGGCCCAGTTTTTCCTGTAAAATAATGATGATCAGCCTTTACCACAATTAAAGTCAAATTGCGTTGCAACATCTGGGAGCTGCACATGCACAATAAACATTGAAAACAGCGAGTTTTCAGAGTATGCCCTGGCCCTCAAGTATCTTTGTGAGAAACTCAGCATTCAAAGATAAGAAACAGCCATAAGTTGCTGCACTTATGAAATAAATACATATAAACATTCCAGAAATTTAGAGTTTGTCCGCTCTCAATTATTATACCATAAAAAATTGTTGCCAGCACTAAAAGCTCACTTTTACAAAATATCATGATCCTTCATAATTTATTCCTACAATCTTGAATCTAAAATCTTTACATCTTTTACGTGCCTCAACACCATTACTCTCTCTTAATTTCACTTGCTCTACACGGTGAGATTCAATCATATATTCCAAATTCCTAGGTCAAGCTTGGTGCTGCTTGGTGCTTAGTTTCCACACAAGCAAAAAAAATTGAGTAATTTGGGCCCTTGAACTTGCTTTGGAAATTGTTAAAATCAAGGCCTCTCTGAACGTGGATTTAACTACTTTTTCATATCTGTCTCTCATAACTCTCGGTTTTCTTGTCGAGCAAAAATAACTGACTCAACCTGGATTATATTCAAGTAACTGAGCTTCCACTGCTCTCTGGGGAAGATAATGCCACAAACTAACAATTCTCAAAGAAAAGAAAATACCTTATTTCAGGCTTAAATAGTCAGCTGCTAATTTATAAAGTGTACCCACACATTCTAGAGTCCTGTAAGGGGAAAATCCTCTCAGATTCCTTCAGGATCTTATACATTTCACTAAGATCGGTGTTCATTTTTTAAATTTCCGACGGATATATGTCCACCCTGTTCAACACTTCCTCAAAAAAAAAAGCCTTCATCCCAAGAATAAATTAAATGATTCTTCTTTGAACTGTTTCTAATGCAACTACATCATTTTTTAAGTATGGAATCCAAAACTGCAAATGGTACTCCAAATGTTGTCTCATTCAGGTGAGACAGACTAAGCACTGATTAAGCAACACCTGCCTACTTTAATACTTGCAAGTAACATCAATATTCCATTTCCTTTCTAACCACTTGTTATACATGTATGCTAACACTGATTTACATATCAGAATACAATGCTTGCACAAGACATAGGTATCCTTTAAAAGGCACATTACGAAGCTACTTACTAATCCGAGCAAATTCCAGTGCTAATTCTCACTAACTCTGGCCCATTAAATGAATTAAGGAACTTGTAAGAATACATACCTTCACCAATGTTTCTTCAGTTGTCAAAAAATTTAAATTTTTCACAAATAAAGTGCATCCTGGAAGGTGCTCTTCCTCACCCTCACTCGAATTATCTGCTTCATTTTCATCCTTTGCTTGGTCGTCCTCATCTTCCAGAAAATATAAAACAAGTCACGTTTAATACATTAATTTTCTTATTGCAATCATTCAATATTTATTTTCCTGAATTAACAGTAAATTCAGGATATATGAATTTAAATTAAAGCCTTTTTCCCCCCCTCATCGCCTTGGTCCAAAACGATAATTCATAATAATAATGAATTGATTTTCTAGTGATTTTCTGGGCCACATCCTTTTGGAGATACATTCTTGTTCAAAATCTATTTCACCTCAGTTAAATAATTTCACTGTAATTAAGTTACAACCCTGCAATACTTAAGGGAATGAATGGGTATTTTGCAATACAGATGTTCAAAAACAAAAGATTTCAAAGAAACAATCTTCCTTCTTCAATTAACATGCAACACAAACCACAATCTCAGGAGAAAGTGATCCAAAATTGCAGAATTACATAAGTGTCATGACACAGAAGAAGGTCAAGTCAGCCCATCACATCTTCACTGGTTTGTCAAATGAGCATCATACTTTACTGCCATTCTTCCTGTGATTTCGCCATACCCTTTAAATAATCATCTAATGCCCTCCTAAATACGTCCAGTGAACTTTCCTCAACCATACATCCAGACAGTCCATTCCATACTGAAACCACTGGTTGGTAAAATTAGAAAGAGAGAACCATTTGCATGGCACTAGCCTTTTGGTAAATTGGTTGCAAGACATTTGCATATGTCAAATCTGAATATTAAACTAAGCAAAAAGTGTGAAGATTGGTTTGTGCAGCAGTATTGCACATAGTATTAAATAAATCCCAATTGAAGTCATAGACGTGTTTAATAATGCTCTGTGGCTTCTTGCTAGCAAAGTGTTGGCAGTGTAGCATGTCTTTAATCATCCAGTTAACTTTCCAATGATAATTTATTGGTGTAGCCCTTTGTCCCAGAAGAAATCCTAAAGTATTCTGCATAAATAATATTTACAAGATATTCATGAAGAATTTCCTGATCCTAAGAAGACTGGGAAGTGACCCTTTGCAAAAATACAATTTCAATTCTAAGGACAATCTTGTCAGAAATGAAAAATGTGGATTTACATGAACAGCTTGCAATTCACTATCTCTGGATTTTCAGCACAAAAGACCTACTATTTGCGGTGAGCTCTGTGTCATCAGGCGGATAGCTACCACTAATCACAATTTGTATATTTATATTTGGGACAGTCACAGCCAATGACATAGTGGTACCAGCTGGTGTAAGAGTTCTTTTAATGTCAGTCAGTGAGGATGTTTTCTGTTATCAACCAAAATCATCCTCGGCTTCGATCAGTTAGGATGATTTCAAGACTTTTTCAGCAATAACTGATGAAGCATAGCTGTATTTCTTAAGTTTACAGTGCATATCTATCTTGTTCAGAATAATTTGGAAACATGCTGTAATTGTTCTTCATGGCTGACTATGTACAGTAAAGCAAATCTACCATAATACATCATCATGTTTGATTAACAAGCACTTTAGATGACTACAACTTGCAAGAATAGTGGCCTTAATGTAGAACAAATATCCTAAAGTATTTCACACTGGTACAATTTTGCTGGGACAAAGTAGCAGATATTAGGCAGGATGATCAAAATGTATCTGGTAAAGGTTAGCTGACAAAGTTCCCAAAAGGAGCAAGGCTGCACAGAGGGAACAACAGGCATCAAATTTCACAGCACAACATAAAAAATTCTCCAAACTGAAGTCAAGGCATAGGAATTAGAATGCCAGGATGAAGTTTTAAAAACCTGTTTCCCATGATACAGAGGAAAACTGAAGGGATGGAGTACCAACTTTTACCTGCCCCAGGAGTGCAGACCAGTGCCAAAGACGTTCAATGACCAGTGTAAGCAAGTAACACAACCAGATTGCTTTCTCTTCCATGTTCATCAACAAAACTAAATAGTTACATTTTTCACCCGTTATACTTCAGATCAATGGAAGCATTAACTTGTGATCTTGAAGATATCATTACAGCATCAACTGCTTTCTTCACATCAACAGCGATACCACCAGAACTATGATTTCTGCAGTCAGAAGCTGTGGGGTGGATATTTCTTAAACGATAGCTAAAACCAAATGACTTCTTCATATTACAGGAGAATTTTGAATGCAATGTCTAAGAAAGGCAGGAGGGGGAAAGGAATCATCTGATTATTGACAAGGTCACTATTTTGAGAATTACTTGAATAAGTATACAAGCGTTACTTGGTAAACAGATCAAAATTATTGTGTGATAACTTGTGACCTGATGTATTTTGTCAAAGTCATTGAATTGCTTGGCCGAGCTGGCTTGTTTTGTTCAGACATTTCATCACCATGCTAGATAACATCTTCAGTGAGGCCTGCGATGAAGCAACGTTGTTCTATTCTGCTTGGAATTTACACTGTCCCATCTGTTATGGCGAGTTGTGTCATTTCCGGTTCTGTTCTGTATGGGTTTGTATATGGGGTCCAATTCTATATGTTTGTTGATTGCATTATGGGTTGAGAACCATGCCTCCAGGAATTCCTGTGCATGTCTATGTTTGGCTTGGGCTATTATGGTTAATTTGTCCCAGTTAAACTGATGGCCTGCATTGCCAGAGTGTACTGATATTAGGGAAAGTTTGTCATGTTGTTTTGCTGCTAGCTGACGTTTGTGTATTCTGATGGCTAGCTTCCTTCCTGTCTGTCCGATGTAATGTTTGTAGCAGTCATTGGTATTTTGTGAACGCTGGTTCTGCATGTCACGGGCATAGAGTCTTTAATCCTTGTGAGTATTTGTCGTAGCACGGCTGTGGGCTTGTGTACTACCACGATTCCTAGTTCTTGACATACGGCAGTGTGGCCGGTGTGTTAGGGCATACTGTGTACTCTTGGTATTGTCTATTTAGTAGGCACCTGCGGATGAAGTGGAGGGGATAGCTGTTCATAGCGAAGATTTCATATAAACCTACCAGTGGACAAAGGGCGCATGACCATCATTATGAACAAACTGGACTACGTTGAGAAAGTGTCAGCACTGCTCGTAAATACAAACACTTACCAACAGGTGGCGATAGACCCAACACCGCAGCTAGGAAATAGGATCATCCGGTAACCAGAAGACACGGGCACGGGCACGAACACGAACACCACCCACGCCCCCCGCCCCCACCCCCACCACACATTCACTCTATCACTCTCTCTCTCTCTCACACACACACACACACACACACACACACACAAACCCCTACAGACTTCCTAAGGTGTACATACCAGACATCCCCTCAGACCCATTGTCTCCCGTCCTGGCACACCTTCACACAAACTGGCCAAGGACTTACAACAGAGACTGAAACACCTAGTCAATGGATCACTCCACTCTATCCACTCAACTGAAGAATTCCTCAATACCCTCAAGGACATAAAAATAAGCGACAACGAGATTATGGTATCCTTTAATGTCACAGCATTACTCATGTCAATTGACATCCCACATGCCAAAGAAACACTGGCCACATTACTGGAGGAAACAGGAATGCAGGCCCGCAGCTCCATCAGCAATGACAACATACTCAAACTACTAGACTTCTGCCTCACCATACACTCCGTTTTTAATGGTCAAGTATACAAACAGATCAATGGCACACCAATGGGGTCACCCATCTCAGGGCTTATCGCAGAGGCAGTCATGCAAAGACTAGAACACACAACCCTCCCCCTCGTTCAACCTAAACTGTGGATCCAGTACATGGACAACCCATTTGTCATCATTAAACATACCGAACTAGAAAAGACACACCACCTCATCAACAACATATTCGCCGGGATCAAATTCACGAGAGAAGAAGAAAACAACAATCAGCTTCTGTTTCTGGACATCAGGGTTGACCATATGACCAACAGGGAGTTCCAAACCTCGGTATACAGGAAAGCAATCCACACTGACCAAATTCTCAACTTCCACAGCAACCACCCAAATGCCCACCAATGAAGCTACATTAGGACACTAAAATAGGCCACCACTCACTGCAACACGCCAGAACTATGCAAGAAAGTGGAAGAGCACCTATACAAAATCTACGCTACAAACAGATATCCCTTCAACTTCATCCGCAGGTGCCTACTAAATAGATAACACCAAGAGGACACAGTACGCCCTAACACACTGGCCACACTGCCCTACATCAAGAACATATCAGAACTGACGAGCCCTATGACCACTAGGAATCATGGTAGTGCATAAGCCCACAACCACACTACGAAAAACACTCAAGGATTAAAGATCCCATTCCCATGACATGCAGAACCAACGTAGTTTACAAAATACCATGCAATGATGGCTACAAACATTACATTGGAAAGACAGGAAGGAAGCTAGCCATCAGAATACACAAACTTCAGCTAGCAGCAAAATGACACAACAAACTTTCCCTAATATCAGTACACTCTGGCAATGAAGGCCATCAGATTAACTGGGACAAAGCAACCATTGTAGCCCAAGCCAGGAATTCCTAGAGGTATGGTTCTCAACCCATAATGCAAATCAACAAACATACAGGATTGGACCCCATATACAAACCCATACAGATCAAAACCGGAAATAACAACTCACCATAACAGACCGGACAGCATAAATTCCAAGCCGAATAGAACAACATTGCTTCATCGGAGGCCTTACTGAAGATGTCACCTAGCATGGTAATGAAACATCTGAACAAAAACAAGCCAGCTCGGCGGGCAAGTCAACACCCTCAGTTGACAAACTGGTGAGTGCTAGATACTGTACCTGCTATTTTGACAAAGCCAGCAAATGTATACAACAAGATGATTCTATTTCTTTGCTGCATTACGGAGATACCAAATGAGGTGAAATTCCTGGCAGTGGAGCAAATACACTTCCAGACAGCACCGTTAGTCGGATGATGTTGCCCAAATTATCCCAAGACATAGAAACTGGCTAAGATCACAGCATTCATTGTCATGCTAGAGCTGTACGGGCAAAACAGTATTACATAAATCTTCAAAGAAAG